AGTGATTTTTCAAAGATAATTAACAAAGAATCATGAATAAGCCTGCAATCAAGAAAAGCAGAAAGTCTTTTGAATGCTGCATTTTTAGGAAGAAGCGTTCATTTCAAGTTTTTGTCGTTGCTGATACAATTTATCTAGTTTTTTCCTGCCGGTAATAGCATGAACTTGCATTTACAACTTTTTTATATCGAGTGTCTGGAACTTGCTATTTTGTTGTTTGTTTGTTTCCTCATGACTTTTAAAAAGTAATAAAGATTTATACACAGTTTTTACTCATTGTTCCGCGAAATATATATATAGCTTGTAACTAGAACTTTTGATTTTTTATTTCCTGGCATGCAAATCATCTTTTTTATTGATCTCTTGTCTTCTTTGCCTCATGAGACCCACTACGTCGAAATCCTCCAATATTTCTGGTTCAGGTGCAAAGTATGGCTTCTCCTCTTCTATACCATATTTTCTAAGACTTTCAGCGTTTGGTATTCCAATTTTTTCAGGATAAAGGACCTGGAATAGTGCATTAAGATCCCCATTTGCATAATAAAATAACCAAAGAGGGAACTCGAATGCAACAATTCTACATGTGCTAGACACACTGATTTTTAAAAAAAACGTCATTTCACAAAACAAGCCTGTTTGCTTTCATCTGATGATGTGTGACAAATGCGACCAATCATAGGAACAATGTATTGATGACACACAACAACATAAAACCGTAGCAATCGGGCTTCAAGTTCGATATTTGGGCCTCTCAAATTCAATTGTTCGAGGAAGATCATATCATCTACTATCTCAATCCCCTGAAATCAAACGTATGCACCGGAGAAATGTACAGTGAAGTCCACAAAGAGAGAATGGTTGAAAAAAGTGCTAGTATTTTATTGCACTGTATGCGTAAAAAAGGAAGAAAGGTAAGTAAAAAATGCATCTGACAGAGATGAAATAAGATAACAATAAAGGCGCGTACTGTGCATCTAAAATAAATTCAAATTGAACTTGGAATGCGCACCTCCTGTCGCAAAGAAGTTTTTATTATTAGTCTATCTAACAGCCAAGGTTTTTCCATTGAGACTCGCAAAGGTATAACTCGTTTAATTAAATCTCTTCCAAGTAGAACATAATCATATGGAATACGAATGCGTTTTGCCAACTCATCTTTCATTTTCTGAAAATAAAGTATTTTCAAAAACAATATGTATACTAAAGTTCGCACTTACTATCGACTGCAGAACATAATGCAAGAAATGTAAAATCAGAAAATTTGAATATCCAAACTCTTCGAACTATGAGTTGCATAATTAAAGCTTTTGATAAGAAGATTTCGGTAAACCTCTTTCATCTCTCCATAATATTGTAAATTAAAGGGAGATGCATACGCTGCCTTCTGCGTCAACAAAAGATCAAGCCGTGCAAGTTTGCGATCAACTTCAACAACATCGAACTGATTTCCAATGCCTAAAATGCATAACTAAATTATTGTGGAAGAAATTGTAATTAAGCAAAGGCCATAACAAAGTTGTCCTCTTTTCAAATATTCAAAAAAGTTAAGTAATGAATTCACTAATCCAAAATGAATTTAAGATTACAAGGTAAGAAGCAAATTAAATACTGAAAACGGAAATGATAATAAAATGATAAAATCTAAATCTTCAAAATCCCACTCATATAGTTAAAATTCAAAACACTTCATTGTTATGAAAGAACCTTTCTAAAATATTAATTACTTCACATATCTGAATTGGTATTTTAAGGGACTTTGCCAGTTTTAAGATGTATTCCGTGATACACATTCGGAATATGTTTGAAAATTTGGACTTCGATGTAAGCTCTTACGGACTCTCAAAATGCAGATCAAAAACTTTCTATACTTCTGATTTTCTAGTCCTTCAAGTAAATCAAGCTTATTATTATTAAAGTATCCAGAATTTGGCATCCACAACAGTTTTAGTTCCATTTTCCTCTCGATTCTTTTCATTTTTAACTATACATTTTTAACGTGCAGTTTTTGCAGAACTTTTAAAGAATATTTAAATTATCAGTAAAAACTTGAAACAGTTTTTAAAAAGGCAAAAGATAGTTTCAATAAATTTGAAAGATAAACCCTCAACATCCTTGAGTAGAATCACTTTTAAAGGTCCTACAGGTTTAAAATCTTCATGTTCTACAACTTCATATTTCATTAGATCTGGATGTTCGGCTGGATTTCGTTGAATACATCCCGGCTGTGTTGGTTCAGGTGCGATAACTCGTCGCAGAACCCACGTGAACTACAAGTATAACTAATGCTTGATAAACTGATAGCTAAACTGAAGTAACTTCAGCTATTGTAGACAAATAATGTACACAACTCACACTTACGAATAGTAGAGTAATTAAGAATAAAGCAACAGGTTGAGAAAAATCTTTTTATACAATCACTAAACGACAATTAAAGTAGCCACTATGTCCTTTATTTATAGCAATGTAAACTGATATTATGCAAGAGACATTACCAAAAAAATGCTATCGCTCAATTTTTTCTAAAATTAAACTTGAAAATGAACGAGAGAATTTACGCGATTCTGTAATGCAATGTTGTTACTGAAATTGGCGAGAAGTCTGCATAGCGGAAAAGAAAACATTCCGATACCTCTAAGATGAACTCGATTAAACAGAAGAAAATCCGATAGATTAATGTCGAGAATTAGCCATTACGCGAAGATGAAATAATTGCTTAGAATCACTCTTCAATTTCCTTTAATATCAAACGATTATTCAAAAAAAGTTAACAAAAAACAAACCAGAGAAATATGATATGCATTTTTTACTGGTTACTAATATTACGCATTTGTGCCTTTGTTTGCAAAATGTGATATGCAATCTTAACTAACCAGAAATTCATTTCTCGTCTTTTAAATAAACTTGTTTTGGCTGATTATTCGCAGAAAAAGTGCCTGCGAGGAAATGTATAGCTTTTTGCGTTTCATTTACAATAAGAAAAAAGCAGCAAAATATCATTCTACGTACAGCGAGATAAATAGAACGAGAATGGTACTTGGGTTACGATAGAAACAAAATAGACACTGAAGAGATTAGAGACTGATGACAAACGAGATCATATTAGTCAAGGATTGAAAAGAAAGAGAGTGTGTGATATGATCAAACAGATGGCAACATTTTACAAAAGTTAATGCGAAGAAAAATACAGTAGTTGAGAATTGGTATATCATAAAATTGGAAGTATGATAGCAGAAAGCCTACTCTGATAACATGACAACACGCGATAACATGTATTTCGAGCAGCAAATCAAAAATTTTTTATGCGAGTGAAGTTCAGGAATATGTAATTTAACGTAACGAAGGTTGGGATTTGAATTGCGATATGTATAAAAACTCCTTACATTATGAAAATGTGTCCACCCTATGTGATTGTAAAGATGCAGTGCTGATAAGATAGTTTGATCGTGTATTAATAGAAATATCTCAAGTCTTGATCACATTTTCTATCCATCCACGAACACTCAAAAATGAGTAGATCAGCATGCGTAATATTTTTGGAGACGAGATGAGATGAGCAAAGACTCAATAAATCTTTGCTTGAAATATTTCAGAGTGCATTACATATTTTTATATATGCAAATTATATCTCGAGTTTTGATAATATCATATCATTTCTCGATTTGCTCTCCTATTATATGGCTCTGTATTTATTTTTAAAAATTTTGTTTGCAGACTTTCAGTGACTAAAATTTTTGACTTCAATGCTGATCAAATTGTAAACAAAATCTCATTACTTCTTGAGTCTAGTTAAGATTTTGGTACTTTGTGATATTTGACAGGAATGGACTGCAT